GGCCGGGGGACGTGTGTCTGTGACTCCCCGGAGACTCAGTTTCCCCGTCCGGCACTTCCTGTGGGCACCGTCCGGGGGGCGGGAGACGCCGTCTCCTGTGAAAGCACGTTCCCTCTGGACGAGTAGCTTGGAACTTCCTCCTGTGCGTCAGCGGGAAGCACGGGGGGAGGCCGCTGTGTGTCGCCACCGCCCCGGCCCTCCCCTCTCTGGCTGGAGGCCGGCAGCCCGAGGGGTCACCCCAGCCCCTCAGAGCTGTAATCATACTGACCGTGTGGGCGGCGGGCGCCTGTGTCCTGCAGACCGTCACCACCGAGGCCTACGTCCTGCAGCCTCACTTCTGTCTTGTTCTGGGATCTGTGTTCTGGGACCACCTGTTCGCCTCTGCACTTGCGACGTGCGTTTCTAGTGCGTTTCCTCGCTTTGGGGAAACGGAGTCTCTCAGCGGGCTCTAGAAGAATCCGGCCGACGGGGAGGCCTGTACGGGGCTCAGCCGCTGCGTGTGCTCTGGGCCCGGCCCCTGGGCCGCCGGGAGGGACATTCTGGGGAAGAGCCCTCGGCTGGCGGCACCGTGACCTGCTTCTACTTGGTAGACATTTGACTCAGAACAGAGAAAAGCAGTTGGAAAACTTGTGATTTGCAACAGCAAAAGCAGCCCTGGATGCCACCCCAGCCCTGGAGGAGGCTCTGAGAGGTCCCTCGGGTGCTCCCGGGAGGCCAGGAGCCCCTCAGACACCCGGCCCCCCCACCCTGCACAGCGGGGTCGGAGCAGCCTGGGCCTGGTTCCTGGCTCCCATCTGACCTGAATTTCCGCGCAGAGAGACACCTGACTGGGTGAGGGGGCGGGTGCTGACCTCCCACCCCCGGGAAGGCGGCTGGGAGTCTGTCTCCGCAGGTCACCTCTCCGGTGCGCGGGCGGCGTGGGGCACGGGTGGTCAGTGAGGCCTCTGCTCAGCAGGTGCGTGATGGGTGGGAATACGTGAGCCCCGGGCGCGACCGTGTCACACACGCCCATGAACCCGCAGCTCACAGGCGGCGTCCGGGTGACTTGCCTCTGATGCTCCGAGGCCGGGGAACACGCTGAATCGTGGTATTCCAGGAATACCGGGGACCCCCAGGAATACCGGGGACCCTCAGGAATATCGGGGACCCCCAGGAATACCGGGAACCCCCAGGAATATCGGGGACCCCCGGGAATACCGGGGACCCCCAGGAATACCGGGGACCCCCGGGAATACCGGGAACCCCCGGGAATACCGGGAAGGTCCCGCCCCACGCAGGGCCCCTGCTCCGTGCTGGGAACTGGGCAGACACGGGCAGGGAGGCCTCCACGTGCGGGGCCTTTGGTTGTGGATCTGGTCAGCGACTCACCAGGGTCCTCTCCTTCTCCCGCAGTCGGACAGCAATGCCAGCTTCCTGCGCGCGGCCCGCGCCGGCAACCTGGACAAGGTGTTGGAGTTCCTGAAGGGCGGCGTGGACATCAACACCTGCAACCAGGTAGGCGCTCGGGGGAGCGGGTCCGGGACACGCCGTGGACTGAGTTTCCTGGGGGGACCCAGGCCTGCGAAGGCCGCTCCCCCCCAGCTGACGTCTGCGGCCTCAGACACGCGTGTCTAGGGCTGAGGCTGCGGGGATCGGAGGTCGGGAGTGGCCGTCGGCGGTCAGTCTGTCTGCGGCCCGATCGCTGAGGCTGCGGGGATCGGAGGTCGGGAGTGGCCGTCAGCGGTCATTCTGCGGCCCGATTGGGCCTGTTGTTCTCCTTCCATCAGTGCCGGCCAGTCCCCAGGCCTGGCGGCTTTTCTCCTCGGCTGCAGGCCTGGCACGCCCGGTCACGCTGCTGCAGACGGGGACAGAGAAGTAAGAGGATAACATAAGAAAGTCCCGCCCCCCGATTTGTTTCAGAACGTGGGTTAGAGCAGGAGAGGCTGAAACCACTGGCTGAAATGACGTGTCTGAAATCTGTCCGTCACGTGCCCTCGACGGGGCTTTAGACAAAGCCTCCGTTTGGGACGTTGTTGGGCTGCAGGGACTCGGAGGGTTCTGTGCTGATGTAGACAGAGGCTCTCCTGCCGGGAAGTTAAGGGTCTGGTGCGCTCCAGTGCTCGGGGGGTGCCTGAGCGTGGGTGGCACGCTGGCACGTGCATGTGTGTGCACGTGTGTATGCGTATGCACGCCTGTGTGTGCCTGTGTATATGTGTGTGCCTCTGTGTGTGCATGTGCATGTGTGTACCTATGTGCGATGTATGCATGTGCATGTGTGCATGTGTGTGATGTGTGTGTCTCTGTGTGTATGTGTGAGTGTGTGCCTGTGTGTGATGTGTCTCTGTACTTGTGAGCGTGTGTGTGCCTGTGTGATGTGTGTGATGTGTGCACGTGTGTGCCTGTGTATATGTGTGTATCTCTGTGTGTATGCGTGTGATGTGTGTGATGTGTGTGTGCCCGTGTATATGTGTGTGCGTGTCTCTATGTGTATGTGTGAGCATGTGTGCACACGCTTGGCAGAGCTGCTGGGGACGGACAGTCCTGGCTGATTCCAAGTGAACAGGAGCCGGTCTTCTCTGACTTACCCCGTGGCACACACAGGCCCCGTCACTGGTCCTGCGGTCACTCCTGTGGGGCCGAGGCAGGCAGGGAGCTGGCAAGAGCCCCGGGGGACGCTCGGCCTCAGCTGCTGGCTGGCCGGGAGCCGCCACGTCCGTGGTCTCTGGCAGGAGACCCGTGGAAGCAGCCGCGCTTTGGTTCCCGCGTGGGTGAGGCCAGATCTGGATCTCACCCGCTCAACACTGGCCCGGAACTGGCCCACATCCTTTGTCCCAAACATAGGATCATGTCCCGTTGTCTTTACCTCTTAATCATCTGACTTCCCACCTCGAATCTTATCGGCTGTGTTTTCAGGGTCCGTTTGAACAAATAATTTAAACTTTGGGTACTAATTAGTTACTTAATAGAGAAAGAATATCCGAGTCCCCTGTGGGCGTATGAACTACTTCCACAAATGCCTGGGGGATTGAGAATGAGAGAGTTTATAATTTTCACACGTTACCTTGGATTTTTTAAAAGTAGATTAAAAACATCCCCCCAGTTTTTTAAAAAATATATTTTATTGATTTTTTACAGAAGGAAGGGAGAAGGATAGAGAGTTAGAAACATAGATCAGTTGCCTCCTGAACACCCCCCACTGGGGACGTGCCCGAAACCAAGGTACATGCCCTTGACTGGAATCGAACCTGGGACCCTTCAGTCCGCAGGCCGACGCTCTATCCACTGAGCCAAACCAGGCAGGGCCCCCCCAGTTTTAATGTTAATTCATTAACTGTCTCAATTTGCTAGAGAGTAGACAATGAAGCCATCAGTTCATTTAGGTAAAAATTATTCTAAAAACACCAACAGGAACCCAGGGAAGATAAAGTTCACCTCAGTCACCCCGAGTCCCCTTCACCCCGAAGTATAATCGTAGGAAAGATCTCAGGGTGTTTTTAGAAAAAACAATTTCTCAGCAGAAAAGACTCAGTTTGCTTTATGACCAACAACGTCCGGAGTCCTCAGAGGTTGTGAGCGGCCTGACACAATGTCCTTGCCGTGGCCACAGTCGCCAGCGTGTTCCAGGAGAGAACGCGCGCGCGTGTGTGTGAGAAGGTAGCGTGACGTCATGCAACCACACGCAACGGAGACCGGAGGCTCCAGTCCAAGCTCTTTCTCCACTTTCACGGAGTCATTGCAACCCAGAAAGTGACCTTTTTCAAAAAAAAATACATATTTTTATTGATTTCAGAGAGGAAGGGAGAGGGAGAGAGAAACATCAATGATGAGAGAGAATCATTGATTAGCTGCCACCTGCACGCCCCCTACTGGGGATTGGCCTACAACCTGGGCATGTGCCCTTGACTGGAATCGAACCCGGGACCCTTCAGTCTGCAGGCCGACGCTCTACCCACTGAGCCACACCAGCCAGGGCCCAGAGAGTGACCTTCTAACCTCCAGCGCAAGGTAATAGGAATACGTTCCACCTCCCCTCCCCGGGTGCAGTGTAGATTAGGTTTGAAACGTGAACAAGGACTTCCCGTGGGATGCCTGTCATGGCCGTTACTGTGCATGACTCACCAAGAACCAACAAGCGAAAATGGGCCTCCACACAACAGGAGGCTGCCTCCCCCGCCACCTGCGTTTAGGTGAGAAGTGAACGAGTCGGCCGGGCGTGGTCCTTGCTCGTCGCTGTGCAGGAACGAACCTTAAGGGGGGAGCAGGGAACCGAGTGGCTCACGTTGGCGAATTCGCTGCCGTGTAGCACTGTCTGCCGAGGGCTTCACACGTGACCTTTCTGCAGAGACCAACGCGGGCGGGCGGCATCCGCCCGGGGTTACAGCGCAGACTCCCAGCCCGTGAGCGTGAGGTGTCCCCCGGGGTCACGGGCCCTGTCCGCTCCCCTGCCCACGCTTCCTCCTGCGGGAGAACACGTCCCCTGAGATGCTCTGCCCTTCAGAGTGTACAGCGGGCGCCTCCTCTATGTTCAGGCTCCAACCTCATGTTTTAATGTATTTTTCTACTGATTTCAGAGAGGAAGGGAGAGGGGGAGAGAGAGGAACATCCATGATGGAAGAGAGTCATGGATCGGCTGCCTCCCGCACGCCCCGCACTGGGGATCGAGCCCGCAACCCGGGCCTGTGCCCCGACCGGGAATCGAACCCTGACCTCCTGGTTCATAGGTTGACGCTCAACCACTGAGCCACGCCGGCCGGGCGCTCCAGTCTCATGTTTAACCTCCCATTGCTCATCTAAAACGAACTCGATTCACCATTAGATGAGCGTGCTGGGTGGCTGAAGGGACTTTTAGGCCAGAGAGTGCCCCCACCGGGACTGCTCCAGCCCCAAATCCATGACCGAACAGGAAATATTTCCCGAAGGGCAACGAGGCAGCTCTCATCGAAAGGATGGCTACTTTTAACCAGGTGCAGGCTCAGAGCTCACTGGGCATGTGGAGGAGAAGGGAAGGCGCCCTGTTGTGCTGGTGAGCCCGAGATTGTGGGGGGTGTGACGCCCCAGGTCGCCCTGTACCACGCGGTGTTTCTCAGTGAAGGCGGGCGGCGCACCAGCTCCCCCAGAATGCGCCTGCGTGGGCACGCTGAGGTTCCTAGACTGAAATGTGGGCGAACATGTTTTTCTTTATAAAATTGCCTCATAGTGACTATGAGAATTTTGAAAGCGAATCCAAAATTACCATTTGGTTTCGAATCACTTAAGGTTTATGGGGAAAATGCATACATTTGGCGCAAGATGATACCGCTGAACAAAAAACTTCACGTTTTCATTTTCCTTTCCCAAATGGTTACAAATCTGCTAAGTGTTGTTTTCCTGAAAAGATTAAACTAGTAACTTATGTGTCTTATTAGCTCACTAGAGGCCCGGTGCGTGAAATTTGTGCCCTGGGGGGGGTGTCCCTCAGCCCAGCCTGCACCCTCTCCAATCTGGGACCCCTTGGGGGATGTCCGACCGCCGGTTTAGGCCTGATCCCACAGACGGACATCCCTCTCACAATCCAGGACTGCTGGCTCCCAACCGCTCGCCTGCCTGCCTGCCTGATTGCCCCTAACCGCTTCTGCCTGCCAGCCTGATCACTCCCTAACCACTCCCCTGCCGGCCCGATCATCCCCACTGCCCTCCCCTGCTGGCCTGGTTGCCCCCAACTGCCCTCCCCTGCCGGCCATCTTTTGACCACATGAGGGCGACCATCTTGTGTGAGGGTGTGACAGTCAATTTGCATACCACCGCTTTATTATATAGGATTTCTTTCAGAAAAGAGGATGAATGTTCGCATTTGCTCCGTTTCTGAGTCTCATGTATACATGTCCTTCTCTTAGGTATTCAGTGGTCGTTCCTAATCTAAGGGTGTCACAGTGAGGTTAGCATCCAGACATGAGAGACAGACTCTGTATCCTTCTCATAGACAGTTGGCTGCAAGTTGACAATAAGCCAGTGACAGGTCACCACAGCCCCTCACGCCCGTCCGTCCAGTACGTAGACAGTGTTCCCTGTGGGAGGACCTACTGGGTCCGCAGTGACTCCGTGTGGAGGCGTCTCTCATCGCATGGACCTGTCCCGGGTCTGACACGAAAGGTTCGCAGTCCTCCAGGTGTCCTGGTTCCCGGCCTGACCTTGCCCTGTGGCTGTGCAGGGGCAGAACGGCCGGTCAGGCCCTGCTTTTCTGTCTCAAAGACGGACGGCCAGGCCCACGTGCCATTTCCCAGGAGCACGGATCCCCCTGAATAGGAGGGGTGCCCGCAGTGGCTTGATCACCTGCGCACAGGCGTGACCCAGAGCTCAGGGCATGTCTGGAGCCCAGGTCCCGACCTTGTCCCTCCCCAGCTGTGTGCCCAGGCAGCTGGCTCCTCCCATGTGCCCTGGGCAGTTGGCTCCTCCCGTGTGCCCCGGGCAGCCGGCTCCTCCGGACGCGGTGTGCTCAGTGGTGAGAAGTGATTGCAGCAACACTGAGGTGAGGGGTTGTGCGGGATCACAGTAGATTCTGCCAGATGCCCAGCGGAGCGGGCGTTCAGCGTGTTAGCAGGTGACGATCCTCGCAGTAACGCCGCATTTTCACGTGGATCCTGACGGGCTTAGCACGTCACTGAAATGCACCAACAAGTCCCTCTCATGCATCCCAGTCCCCCCCAACCCCAGGTGAGGGCCAGCCCCCATCCTGCCCGTTCCCTGTGCCCCCGTGGGAGCTGGGCTCTGCTGGGAAGCGGCGGGTCCAGGAAAGGCGGGCCTGTGGGTGAGGGCGGGCAGTGTGGGGACACGCTGGTGGGCACTGCAGGTTCGTACAGTCGCTCTGCCTTGTCAGTGGAATCTGAGTCAAGGGCATCAGCTGAGAGAGGATGGAGGGGTGATGGGCAGGAAAGAAGGTGTGAGGGAGCCATCTGGGGGGTGGGGAGTGCTGGGCTACAGAGCAGGAATGGCAGGTGGTGCGGGGCCCCGCGGAGCACACGGCTGGCTCGTGGGTTCTTCTGTGGCCGCGTGCGGGCGTTGGGCCCAGAGTCAGTTCCGTGCAGCCGGGGCTCTGGGTTAGCTAAGCTGCCGAGGGCGCCTGCACAGCCCGGGGAAGGGAGCAAAGGTGACGTTCATGCGGGGAATTCCTGCCCAGTGAGGGGCTGTGCACTGGGACCAGGAGGGAGTGGACCCAGGGGCAGGGTGAGGGGCTGTGCACAGGGACCAGGAGGTTGGCAGGAAAGTGAGTGGTGGTGAAGGGTCCCTGCTAGGAGCCGAGGGCCTGGAGGGAGGTGCTGTCCCTGAAGTGACGAGGTCTCAAGTCCCACGATGGAAGTGAGTGGACGAGGCGGGAGGGGGAAGGGCCATCGGCTGAGAGGCAGGGGCCTGACGGTCGAGATTCGGGGGAACCACCTGCTACATGTTGGAGGAAGGGCCGCGAACCAGACCCTGAAACCTTCCAGGGATGGGGTGAGGCTGATGCCGCCTGGGGCTCAGGAAACATCATCGACAGGAAGGACTCTTCTCCGCCCCTCGCCACTCCGCTTGTTTGCATCCGGCATGTGTCTGAGAGGGGAGTAAGTTCAGGAACTCCAAGCCGGCAACCATAACTCCAGCCCCCGCCCCCCCGTCCCCCCCGGGAGAAGCTGGAGAGCAGCCGCTGTCACTACTTGACCCGAAAGGACATCTCCTTTCCCCAAGGTGCCCTCACATCCCGGGTGTTGCCTAAACTTCCTTAGTGTTTATGCAGCCCAGAGCACTCACGCACATGCACAGATGCACACATACACACAGGCACGCATGCACACAGATGCACACATAAACACACAGGCACACACATAAACACAGGCACACATGCACATACACATGCACACATAAACACACAGGCACACACACATAAACACATAAACACAGGCACACATGCACACACCAGAGATGCACACATAAGTGCACAGACATGTGTGCACACACATGCACACTTAAACACACAGACACAGGTGTGTGCGCGCAGGTACACACATAAACACAGACACGTGTGCACAGAGATGACACATAAACACACAGGCACACATGCACACATCAGAGATGCACACATAAATGCACAGGCACATGTGCACACAGACACACATGCACACTTAAACACGCAGACACAGGCGTGTGTGCACAGATACATGCATAAACAGACACGTGTGCACACACATAGATGACACAAAAACACACAGACTTGCACACGCAGTTATGCACACATAAACACAGAGACGTGTGTGTGCGTGTGTGTGTGTATGAAAGTCCAACAAAAAATAAACCAGAAGCACCTGCCCCTGCGGGCACCCTTTTCCTTTGCTCTCTGTCCTGTGTAGAGACGTGCGGACGGGCATGAGCCTTTGCCTGGCGTTGATGACCTGCTTCTGCATCACAACCAACCGTGTGAACACAGGTTTCCAGCTCTTGGTCACCACTCGCTCTCGGTCCCTCTGGCCTTGTTAGGGTTTGGAAGAGTTTCGTGCTCCTCCCCAGGCTAACTCACCGTCAGTCAAGGCCGCTCTGTGTCCGGGGGGTTCCAGGATGGGAGCATTTGCTGGGACTGGACAGGGGAGGGACGGTGGCCTCCACGGTGCTGTGTGCGCAGGCCCCGGGCGGACGCACGCGGTGGCGCTGCGAGGCGGTCCTGTGCCACCTTTTCCCGATGAAATGACCGTCGCGCCACCACATGCCCAGCCTCGCGGGGAAGATGTGTCACTGGGCGGAGGCTTAGCAGGTGCCTCGTTACAAACTCGTCGTCTGGGAATGAAGAAAGCCATGGCCACGTGAGGAGACTCACTAATAAGACACGTGTCCTCGTGGCCACCGTGGCTTGGTTCACTTTGTTAAATCGGAAGCCCACGGGAACCAGCCAGAGACCCCGAGACACAGTTCAGTGGTGTCGGATGGCCGTGACACGTGGTGCCTTGTGGTTGCTGGTCCACAGAAAGCGGAGTAAACCCTGGCTCCCACCGCAGCGCGAGCTCCGAGCGGCCACCGCGGGGAGGCGGGCGGGTGCGGGTGCGGGCGGCTGGTTGGTGTCGGGGCAGGACCTGAACTTGGCTATGCCCACGGGTTGTTTGTGGTTTGCGTTTGCTTTTTCCCTCCATCGTGTAGCTAGGTCCTCGCCAATGTCACAGATGCCGATGGCGCAATGACGCCGCCGACAGCGTTTCATAACGACCTGCGTTTACCTGTGGGCGTGGCTCCCGAGAGACCTCAGCTGGTCGGTGGCCCAGAGAGGGAGGTTGGGGTCAGAGGCCGAGCTTCACTCTCCTGTTACCATTTGGTGTGGATTTGCTCTGCAACTCCTGGTATTTTCCAGAAACGCCTGTATTTCAACCGCCTCCTCCCGATATTTACATCAGCATAATGAAGGCAGTTCTGCGAGGTAGTTGCGCTTTTCTCAAATGCACAAGACAGACTGGCGGACCCTGCGCTCGGCACGTAGGGTGTACGGAGCAGAGCAGCCGGAGGCCTAAAGCAGCCGGAGGCCTAAAGCAACCGCAGACAAGGGTCCGCCAGGGGCCAGGTGCCTGCCGGGCGTTTAAGGACCAGGTGGTACTTGCTCACCTAAGAGCTCAGTGAATATTTGCCGGTTGTTTCAAAGGACTCGGGTTCGTACTGTTCTGTTACGTTAACCTCCAGGAGCCAACACCAGGGCTGGGCTCCCGTTTACGACCCGTGTAAGCGTTAGTGCAACCGTACCAGCTCCTCCGAGTTAGAGCACCGTGTTAGGCAAAGAAGACAAACAAATCACCTTATTTTTGAGCCAAATATAAAGCCAGGAGAAAGCTGCCGGGGTTCTTGTTCTGGCATTTAGAAGGGTTCTGGAATCTGGAGAAAGGCTGTGCATAGATTAAATAGGAGTCCAGAGACGACATATAATTTTGAAAGGCATTTGGGGGTCAGAGGAGCAAGATAAATATCACATGCTCTCACTCATGTGTGGATTATAAGGACCCCATGCTTTTTATTAACACAACTTGTCCTGAGGCGAGGCAGAGATAATACACTTCAATCCTATACAGAGTCCATTGTCAGAATGGGGGGAATTAGCCTACGGCTGTTCAGGTGTTTGGCCAGTAGGAGGCAATAACATGTAGATTAAGATGCCCTGAGCTGTCTGGCAGCCAACAATCAATTTAATGCATCCTAATCAGGTTTGGGGAAATGCCATCAGCCATTCTCAGATGCAGCCCTGCTGTCCTGCTGGAATCGGCTTCCGGCAGAAAACCATTCCGTGTGAGCCGTGCAACAACCGCAAACAGGGAATGGCCCCAAAGCAACTGGTCCCCGTGCCTGGCTCTCTGTGCGCATGAAGACAGCGGGCAGACGTCTGACTCCTCTGACTCCTTGGTGTCGTCCGTGCGTCCCCCGTGCTGTGACGAGTCACGGAGTCTTTAGGAATCTGGGGAGAGGGAGCCAGACATCACGGTGCAATCAGAAACTATAATATGCATTTAAGTTGAAACGGAATGCCAGGCCAGTCAGCGACAGGATAGGCTCCGGGTCCTGTAAGTACAGGCTGGGCTGTGCAAGGCTGTGTGAGCGTCGACACGGTCCTTTAGCTTTTTTGTCGAGTTCTATGAAAAGGACATTTCTCCCCCAGGTGCTGCAAAGCCAGGTTTATGTAAAGCTGCCCAGGGCTGACGCTTCGTGTCTGGTTGGCACTAGGAGTGACACGGAGCTTCTCTCTCTCTCTCTCTCTCTCTCTCTCTCTCTCTCTCTCTCTGAAAGGATTTGGATGTCTTAGTGTTTTTTTTAAAGAAAAGGTTGTTTTCATGCTGTTGCCGAATCCCCCTTTCTAACGACTATGCATTTACCTCTCTGCCTCTGGATCAAAGCACGGGAACATGGTCTCTGAACTTAGCAGCTTCGAGCTGATGCTCAGAGAGAGCGACCCGGGGCCAGGGATCATGTGCTCCCGTACACCCCTGCCCACCCTGAGGCCATCTCTTCTCTTGCAGAATGGACTCAACGCCCTCCACCTGGCGGCCAAGGAGGGCCACGTGGGGCTGGTGCAGGAGCTGCTGGGCAAAGGGTCGGCCGTGGACTCCGCCACCAAGGTAGGCGCCCTGCACTGGGAGCGGCGACGCCGGCCCCTTCCCCTGGCGCACACCCCAGGGCCGCTGGGACCCCAGGGTTCTTAAAGGCCGAGCTGCCATCGAACCCCTTCCCGGGCGGCTGGGCCGAGTGTGGGCGACGGCATTTGGAGAGGTGCCAGGCCTGACGCCGAATCCTGCGGGCCTGGTTCCCACTAATTCGGCTTTCTCCTTGGCTGCAGAGACAGATGCACAGAATTGTCCGCAGAAACAGGAGCACCTGCTCCCCTGAGATTAACTCATTTACAGGGTAAATTGATGTGGTCAGCATCTCAGTGGAAAGAACAAGCAGTTTTCATGACGTTGTTGTGTTTTAATGTGTCCATCTAACTGGTGAGAGAGGACGCAGAATCCTTTATGGCTGATGGGAGGGAGCTGGGGGGTCATGGACTGAGTTGTCACGGTAACATGAGGTCTTGCCCCGGGTGTGTAAGGAGAGTGGCCGAGGTTCAAGGACGGACGTGCGCAGAGGCTGGGGCGAGGGATGTGCCTCCTTGTGGCGCTGCCTCTGCAGGGACATGTGTGAGCCTGGCCACCGGGGAGCATTTCAGAAACAACAGTTATTTTTAAAATGGCACCAGTGGCGACCCGTCTTTGTCCTTAGAAGGTGGAATTTCAATTTGGCAGAAAACAGTAGCCAGTGAGAGTCAAGCCTGCCGCTCGGCTGGAGTGTGAGCACGGTGTTGTGGGAGAAGAAGAGAGAGGCTGGGGGTCGGGTTAGGGTAGGGGGAGAAGGAGCGTTAGGGTAGGAATCGGGGAGAAGGGTTAGGGGAGGGGGAGGGGGAGGAGACGTGGAGTGTTAGGGTCTGAGACGGGGAGCGGTGTGGGGATAGAGCCGTGGGAGGGCCAAGGTCAGGGCTAGGCACTCAGGCCTCCATCTGGGGAGTTAGTTTGGACTGTCAACGCCTCATGCGTTTGTGCCAAAATGCAGAGGGGCCCAGCTCACAGCCTGGTGTATGGAATTCCAGGGGAATTTTAAAGACAAAAGACTCCCTGGCGAATCCAAAGGAGTCGAGATGTAGTTCCACTTTAGGGCCTAGAGTGCAGGCCATCACTTGCTTACTTTGGACACAAAGAGAAAATTGGCATTTTTATGAGCCTTCCCCTTGACCACGTCAAATACATGCTAAACCGACATTTAGAGACTCATGCTGAAGGTCTCTTCTCCTGAGCTGCCACGTCGATGTGATGTACCTTAAACCAACCCTTCCTCGGCTGCTTGTGTTTGTCATCAGTTTCCTCCTTCCCGTCCTTCACTGACGTTTTAAAATAAAGGCTCCCGTAGGTCCAGAACCAGCTCTCCCGTGAAGGTCCTCACTTAGCCAGGGGGTGAGAGCCTCATGGAACCCTGTGCGGACCAATCAGCACCCGTCTGCCCGCCTCTCCCCCTGCCCCCCCCCCCGGGGGGGCTGAGGACAGAAGGGAGATGACCCCCCTCCCCCCGAGGTCGGCCACGTGGTGAGGGGTCAGGTCTGACAACCAGGGACGGCGGCAGCACGGAGCAGGCCGTCACACTCCCATTTCTACCACCGGCGGGCGGACGCGGTAACATTTTCTGTCTGTTTCTTCGAAACAGAAGGGGAACACGGCTCTGCACATCGCCTCGCTGGCGGGACAGGCGGAGGTCGTCAAGGTGCTGGTCAAGGAAGGCGCCAACATCAACGCCCAGTCCCAGGTACGGACCCGTCTCCCCTCCGACGCAAAGGGCTCGAACAGCCGTGGGATTGGCTGAATGCCTTTAGCCAGCTGCTGGGCAGAAAAATATACTACAAATACTTCAGTTATTTGTTTTGGCCAAATAAGTTTTTTAAATTATCTACTGATGGGCACTTGGGCTGTTTCCAAACCTTAGCTATTGTAATTGTGCTGCTATGAACACAGGGGTGCATATATCCTTTCTGATGGGTGTTTCTGATTTCTTGGAGTATATTCCTAGAAGTGGGATCACTGGGTCCAATGGCAGTTCCATTTTTAATTTTTTGAGGAAACACCATCCTGTTCTCCACGGTGGCTGCCCCAGTCTGCACTCCCACCAGCCGTGCGCGAGGGCTCCCTTTTCTCCGCATCCTCGCCAGCGCTTGTCGTTTGCTGATGTGTTGATGGTAGCCGTTCGGAAGGGTGTGAGGTGGGACCTCCTTGTTCGGCCAAATGCTTTCTTCCCCCAGCGGTGACATTGCTCTCTCTCTTCTTGGTGGATGTAGCATGAGCTCCCTGTTAACATAAACCTGACCAGTGCACAGCCCGTCTTCCTTGCCTTTACCTGCATTACAGAGAGGATAACGTGTTCTCCCCCATGACAGTGGCGTCTGTGAAATACGACTTTTCACGCGAGTTCTGTGTTGCTCTAGAAAAGTATTTTCTCTCCTTCGATGACAAACATCTCAGAAGATGAACATCCAGGCGCTGCATCCGCGGTCACTTTGGTGCCGTCACCCCAAGCGTGGCCTCGGGAAACCCCCAGGGAGACGGGCACACGGGAGCCCAGCCTGGTGACTCCCGCAGGGACCCTCGCCTTGGACGGGAAGCGCGTGTTCTCAAGAGGAAGTGAAGAAAATTTGAAAAGGATAATCACAGCCTATTGCACGATAAGCCGTGCTCCTGTGTACATGTGTTCCGGGGGGAAGGGGCGGACACGCTGCTTTGCCCACCGCTCCGCGTGTTCTCAAGAGGAAGTGAAGAAAATTTGAAAAGAATAATCACAGCCTATTGCGCGATAAGCCGTGCTCCTGCGTACGTACGTTTAGGGGGAAGGGGCGGACACGCTGCTTTGCCCACCGCTTGCCTCCTGGAGACTCCGACGTGTTTATGTGGAGCTCGAGGGACACAGCGTGATCATCTCATCCCTCCTGCTCTCTGTTCTTGAGGGGTGTAGCCCCTGGTCACACAGCCTCCATACGCTCTGGTGCCTGTGCTGTTCGGTCGTGGGCCGTGTGTGGGTGGCTGTGGTCGCTACAGGCACCAGTTCTGGACCGTAGATACCAACGGGCGGACGTTGGGATCGGCCCCATTTCCTTCGGCGTTGATTATAGGGAGGAACCTGCTGAAATTTCGACCACCAGAGAGTATCTGTTCTTGCCTTTGTGACAGCAAACCATTTTAAATAATCCCATTCCCCCCGACAGCCCCGTTTTTTAGTTCAGTACACGTCAGTGTTTTCACGTTTATGGAGAGCATGGCACGCTGCAAAACCCTTATCGGACGGAAAGCGTGTGAAATGGCGCCGTGTGCAAGGGCCTGTGGACTCTGCAGGCGGCGGCGCCGGGGCGTGGAGGCCTGGACTG